TTTAGAGAATTGCATATAGATGTGTCTGCAAAGTCTCGAGTCAAGTGGGCAACCCATCTTCGAGAAGAAGAGTTTAAAAAACGGCAGAAAAAGAATAATAAACATTACAATAACAAAAGGCTTTCGATGCTGAAATGCATCGAAAGCCTAAAAAATACATAAAAAACAAAACATACTCAAAAACATGTACTGTAAAATCTGTATTAGAAGCCACATCCCTAATAGAAGTCGCACCCATTCTTTCTGAATAATTGAGAACCAAACATTCACAATTTCTCATATGTGTAGATGCTCTAATAGAAGCAACATCCTCTCTGTTGCATTGTACCATTTTAATAGAAGCTGCGGTTTCTAATACAGATTTTACAGTATTCTGTATTTGACAAACAGTTCATTCAACAAATCAAAATCAAAATTCACAGGAATTTGTTTCAGATATTAGAACAGAATGAGCTTTTATAATGCTAATTTAAAAAAACACACTTCAAAAACAAAGTTTGCAGTGTTTGTTGATGTAGATTCTCAGGCGACAACAGTACTGTTGACTTCTCTCTCCACTGGACACCAACTAACTATTTAAGTTGATTTGTATACAAAGCAGAGCATGATAGTTATTTGGTAGAGGGTGTTTTCAAATAATACAGTAGTCACACTATGAATATAATAAGGCAGTTCATATTTGTCTCAGTGAATCATTAATTTTTGACAGACACCTGTACAAAATACTTGGACAAAAGCCAGCTAAGATTTTCTGTTCTCTTGCTTGTTTTATGAATCTATTCACGTCTAAAATGCTGTACTTTTTTCTGAGATGAGGCATTTGTTTTAATACTAAAATATCTGAATTACCTAATTCTGATTAGAAACTTAGAATATGCCCGGGATAAATGCTTGGTATCCCAGGATATATGCTTGGTATCCCAGGATATATGCTTGGTATCCCAGGATATATGCTTGGTATCCCAGGATATATGCTTCGTATCCCAGGATATATGCTTGGTATCCCAGGATAAATGCTTGGTATCCCAGGATATATGCTTGGTATCCCAGGATATATGCTTTGTATCCCAGGATATATGCTTGGTATCCCAGGATATGTGCTTGGTATCCCAGGATATATGCTTCGTATCCCAGGATATGTGCTTGGTATCCCAGGATATGTGCTTGGTATCCAGGATATGTGCTTGGTATCCCAGGATATATGCTTGGTATCCAGGATATATGCTTGGTATCCAGGATATGTGCTTGGTATCCCAGGATATGTGCTTGGTATCCAGGATATATGCTTTGTATCCCAGGATATATGCTTGGTATCCCAGGATATGTGCTTGGTATCCCAGGATATGTGCTTGGTATCCCAGGATATATGCTTGGTATCCAGGATATATGCTTGGTATCTCAGGATATATGCTTGGTATCCAGGATATACGCTTGGTATCCCAGGGTATATGCTTGGTATCCAGGATATGTGCTTGGTATCCCAGGATATATGCTTGGTATCCAGGATATATGCTTGGTATCCAGGATATATGCTTGGTATCCCAGGATATATGCTTGGTATCCCAGGATATATGCTTGGTATCCAGGATATACGCTTGGTATCCCAGGGTATATGCTTGGTATCCAGGATATGTGCTTGGTATCCCAGGATATATGCTTGGTATCCAGGATATATGCTTGGTATCCCAGGATATATGCTTGGTATCCAGGATATATGCTTGGTATCCCAGGATATATGCTTGGTATCCCAGGATATATGCTTGGTATCCCAGGATATGTGCTTGGTATCCCAGGATATATGCTTGGTATCCCAGGATATATGCTTGGTATCCCAGGATATATGCTTGGTATCCAGGATATACGCTTGGTATCCCAGGGTATATGCTTGGTATCCAGGATATGTGCTTGGTATCCAGGATATGTGCTTGGTATCCCAGGATATGTGCTTGGTATCCCAGGATTTAGGCTTGGTATCCCAGGATATGTGCTTGGTATCCCTGGATATATGCTTGGTATCCCAGGGTATATGCTTGGTATCCCAGGGTATATGCTTGGCATCCCAGGATATGTGCTTGGTATTCCAGAATATATAGGCTTGGTATTCCAGAATATATAGGCTTGGTATCCCAGGATATATGCTTGGTATCCCAGGATATATGCTTGGTATCCCAGGATATATGCTTGGTATCCCAGGATATATGCTTGGTATCCCAGGATATATGCTTGGTATCCAGGATATGTGCTTGGTATCCAGGATATATGCTTGGTATCCCAGGATATGTGCTTGGTATCCCAGGATATATGCTTGGTATCCCAGGATATATGCTTGGTATCTCGTGATATATGCTTGGTATCTCGTGATATATGCTTGGTATCTCATGATATATGCTTGGTATCTCATGATATATGCTTGGTATCTCATGATGTATTCTTATCCAAGGTTATATACGTAGTATCCCAAGAGATATGCTATGTATCTTTAAATATATGCTTGGTATCCCAGGATACATTCCATTTGTTTTTTCCAAAAGCTTTGAGTCCTAGTGTCAATGCATTTCATTCCAGGCTTGGCAATACATTTAATAGTGTAAACTGAGGTGAACATAATAGTAATTGAATTTTCCTACCATGGTACATTTGTATCAAACTACATGCAGCATAGTGTTTATAGACACAGAACGACAAACCTCAGTCATCCTGTTTATTTGTATCAGTCGTATATTTGTATATTATAGAGAAATCTTATAATATGTATTATGTATACTTTTATGATTTATTTTGAAATTAGCACTTTGCTGATACAGGCGGCTGAGACTGAAACATTGAAACATTGAAATCATTATCGGTGATCGCATCAGAATAAATCAGTAGATTCAGAGTCAAGATCAGTCAACTCAGGAATTTCTGTGAAAAAAATAAAATGCACAAAGTACCAAGCCCAGGTCAATGGGAAAATGTGAAAAAAGCTAAAAATTACAAAGAGTTTAAGTATACCACTACATGTATAAATTTCAAATGAATCTGCTGGTAACCTAATTCGTCACTGAAATACCAAGATGTGTATGTTTGTTTGTTATATATGTGTATGTTTGTTCATTATATCTGTGTGTTTGTTCATTGTCTCTATAAATAATCACTATGGTATAATATGGAAATTTTTACAAGTCACTTCTGGCCACAGGAAAAAAACAACGCAGAGATTATTATTACAAGCCGGTAGGCTGGTTGGCGATCCGCTCCGCTCAAAAACAAGCAACATGTTTTTTGTCTGTTTCCATGGTGACATAAACGTGAAGCTGACGTCGGTTTATAACTAATACGAAGTTCGCAAACACCATTCAGTCTTTAGAAGTCACTTAGTTTAGTACTAGGACCACAGTTACTCTCTCCTAGTAGAGTGACTGTGCTAGGACGTATTCTGCTGTTACATTTATTATTTCCAACCGTTTTGCGATAGCATTTTTTAGAATGAAGCGTTTCCCGTAAATGCTGGAAAGCGAAATAATGAAATAACGAAATGGTAAATATTTACCTAAATTGCAGTGTGTTGACCTTCATAACAATATACTTCATAATGCAAAACACTAGTCACAGTGAGTAATTTAAATATACGACTCCTAATCGAAAAATATGACTACAGTCCAGAATTTTCAGACGGATATTGAGCAACCCTAAGAGCATATCAGAAGCATTTACTCTAAAATATAAAAAAAAGAACTGCAGTCAAAGTCAAGAATGCCAAGCAAATAAAGGACTCTGTC